TAGTACCGTTATCTGGAAATATATATATATATATAATAGTACCGTTATCTGGAAATATACATATATATAATATAATACCGTTATCTGGAAAAATATATAATACAGATATAGTAGTACCGTTATCTAGAAATATATATATATATAATAGTAGCTTTTTCTAGAAAAATATTTAATACATATATAATAATACTGTTATCTGAAAAAATATATATATAATAGTACCGTTATCTGGAAAAACTGTAATGCTTGGAATAAGACCTGTTTAGTAGTTTATACGACAACACATCAATGACACAGGCTTTATACACTACACATGGCACAGTAACGTTTCCTTGTTCCACAACTGTAACACAGGCTTCATACACTACACATGACAATAATATTTCCTTATTCCACAACTGTAACACAGGCTTCATACACAATAACTTTTCCTTGTTCCACAACTGTGACACAAATTGCATACACTACACATGACACAGTAACTTTTCCCTGTTCCACAACTGTGACACAAATTGCATACACTACACATGACACTAACGTTTCCCTGTTCCACAACTTTAACACAGGTTTCATACACTACACATGACACAATAACTTTTCTTTGTTCCACAACTGCAACACAGGTTTAATACACTACACATGACACAATAACATTTCCTTGTTCCATAACTGTAACACAAATTGCCTACACTACACATGACACAGTAACGTTTCCTTGTTCCACAACTGTAACACAGGTTTAATACACTACACATGACACAATAACATTTCCTTGTTCCACAACTGTAACACAAATTGTATACACTACACATGCCACAATAACATTTCCTTGTTCCACAACTGTGACACAAATTGCATACACTACACAAGACACTAACTTTTCCCTGTTCCACAACTGTAACACAAATTACCTACACTACACATGACAGAGTAACGTTTCCTTGTTACACAACTGTAACATAGGTTTAATACACTACACATGACACAATAACTTTTCCTTGTTCCACAACTGTAACACAGGTTTCATACACTATACATGACAATAACTTTTCCTTGTTTCATAACTCTGACAGGTTTTATTCACTACACACGAAACAATAACTTCTTGTTCCACAACTGTTTTTCTCAACTGATATTTTGATGTCCAAGATTAATAATAAAAACAACAACAAAAAACACACGAAGATTTAGCAAGGAGGAACAAAGTATTTAGCCAATATGCATAATTTTTCGTGGCTACGAATGCAGGCTTTGTTTAAAGTTTCTAGGGATCCAAAGTGAGAGCTAATTGACATTTTTAAGGATGTAAATGTTCTAACATTTATATTTTCATATCAATGTAGTCAAAACGACCAATACAATCTAAGCAAGGCACACTTTTAAATGGAATAATCAGTACACGTGCAGTGCCTTTTTTATATTATTTATCTTTTAGGAGCACATTACAGTGCTAACGAACACATGACTTCTATGATGAATCGGCAAACAAGTCACTTTAAAAGCTGTGGAAGTTTATTCAAGTTACGTTCGAGATGCTTAAGAGCATGAAGGATGGTCTCGAGGTTCGAGAAGCACACCCTTTACTCTCACGATTTCCTTTGTAAGACTCTTTAAATAAGATATCTCGTTCTCTAGTTTCTGTACCTTGTCCTTAAGCACAATGTTCTTCCTTATTAACACATTTTCTTCGTCTTGCATCCACTGTGCTTCTTCTCGTTTTTTGATTCGATAACGAACTGCAGCTTCCTTGTTCTGCAGCTTTTTTCGGTATTTATTGACGCTGTCATTGAGAGTAGTTTTATTTATCTCTTCACGCTGCTTGTGTTTATTTTTGGCGCGCCTTCGTTGAGTAATAGAGGGCGGGTTGAAGTTGACAACAGAAGATGAAGTATTGGTCCCCGGATATATATTTCCTCCAGAAACATTGATTCCGGGGCATCCGAAGAATGATCCTGTATTTATGGACGGATTCTGGATGCATCCTAGTAGTTGACTGCTGTCACTCACATTCAGGTTATATTCTTCGTAATTGTATGTTTCTTGAGGAAGAATAGCTTTTAATATTTCGTTAGCGTTAGGCTTAGGCCCGTGATTATAGCTGAACTGGGAAATTGAAAGAATATTTGGTTGTATATCAGAAGGCGATGGAGATGATGTACCAGAAGAACACAACGATGAAGAATTCCATGGAGAAGAAGATGCTGAAGATGGAAGAGTTATGAAGTTTCCATAGGTATCCAAATGATATGGTTCTTGTGTGAATAGCTTCTTTTGATAAATCTCCGAAACTTGACCATCCAGAGAGTCGGGAGGGGTTTCTTCCAGTAAACCAAACTCATCTATTGTGGGTTTGATACACGAAAAGTCTTGAGTCGGCTGTATGTTCATGTCGGATGCTCCAGGGTAGACCGTGGTGGGGTCAGGGGTGGAAAGTAACATAGGGATCTCTAGGTCTTCCAGCACCGATAAGTCTAAGTCAGCGTTCATCCAGCACGGGGACTGTAGCCCTCCTAAGTAAACAAACAATGTTCATAAACAAAAGAAATATCGCAGTAACAAGTTCAAGTAGGCTAGGAAACTTATAAAAAGCTCGTTGAAGTCTTACGTTTTAAATTAAAATTATTCACCAAAAACAGAGAACATTTTATATTTTCGCATAAAAGAACAGAATTACAAAATACGTACAATATTTGAGATCTGCAGAAAAAAGTGAATACGGTTAGTATTATCATTAACAAACATTCCACCTGTGTTTTAACCTTTCTTGGTTGATCTGCTAAGGCAAGGAATTGTACTGTGATATATTAAACTAACCAAATCCCTTTAGTTGTGTGCCTTTTGTTAGAAGTATCAGATGAAATACCGATTTTCCTCACAGGTTGGAATATCAGACTGGTGAGTTGTACACCTACGTGTCAGCTACAGTTATCCTTTTACAGACGTGACATAAACTGGAATAAAATGTTGTCGTGTGTAACATTGCTGTATTATGTATATATTGTTCCCGTTGAGAAGGTAGTTCACACAGTTCGGGCTGTTTTATTATACACCGTATACGGGCCTTGAGCTACTTTTGTCAAATTAATAGTGAACCTTGAAGCTTAGGTGTTAGATAGAAACGATTAAACCCCTCCCCCTAAAAAAGACCCATCTTCACCTGATGGATAATAGTTCCATATGACTCATCTTCATCTAATGGATAATAGTTCCATATGACTCATCTTCACCAGATAGATAATCGGTTCATATGACTCATCTTCACTAGATGGATAATCGTTTCATATGAATCATCTTCACCAGATGGATAATAGTTCCATATGACTCATCTTCACCAAATGGATAATAGTTCATATGACTCATTTTCACCAGATGAATAATAGTTCCATATGACTCATCTTCACCACATGGAAAATAGTTCATATGACTCATCTTCGCCAG